CTATATTTCTTCTATGTCTGTTATGTACTTATTTATGTGCCTTACATACTCGGTACATTTTTCATACTGACGTCCCTTTTTCCTGGGGACGCTGCGTTTCATGCCCGCAGGTCCCGAATTCGATAGACAGGTCGAGAGCCCTCCAAGTAGGCTATCAGCTCAGCGAAAGATCTTGGTGCGCTCCATTTGCTTCGGAGTTGCTTGTTTGGTTAGTATGATTTAGACGTGTATTGTTTGGTATGGCGGGACTCTGTCCCGACCTTTATGACATTTATGTACTTTTAGAGGCTTGTAGACATATGTCGTGTACGTGAAAGATTGTATTGCCTTGTCGGCCTATGTTTTGAGTTTATAAATGATTATGTTGGCCCATTAGGTCCGTATATCACGTGTATATGATGATGTAATAAGAAAGATGCGTTACGTTGGTACTCGGTTGAGTAAGGTACCGGGTGCCCGTCGCGGCCCATCGGTTTGGGTCGTGACATGATGGACCGTGACTTCACATCCGGCCAACTCCGCGTACTTAGTCAGTAGCCGAATCACCTTCAGAGTGTACGACGTAAGTTGAGCCGGACAGATATTATAGAACCGACAAAACTCCTCTGCAAAGGGGAAAAGAGGGAGGCTGTAACCAATCGAAAATGGGTACTCATAAAAAGTGCAATACTCCGACCTATGAACATCCACATGATCCCTCCCCGCCGGAATCATCTCTACGTAAACGGGTATGCCGTACTTCACACGGAGGTCATCCAAGTAATTTTGCAACGACTCGGAAAACTTTGGAGCCGGAATGGGAAAGTCCTTACTAAAATCACTTCGAGATAAGGTACATTGTGGCAGCAACGCCTCCACAATAAGAGGACTAATGTCCTCTTCCTCCTCCGCCCTTCCACCATCGGAAGGTGGCAGCACGTTCAACGGGGCAGCCGTCGGGATCCTCTCGTCGCTTCGGCGAGGTTTAGGCATGATCTCGATGAAGAAAAGGTTATGCACAACACCACAAAGGAAAGGAAGATTTTCGATCAGGAGAAAATACACCAGAATATGGAAGTATACACTAAAAGGTTGGCATGTTTTTTCAAATGATCAAAGTCTGAATCAGGTTAAAACCTCCCCCTATTTATAGGGTTGGGAGGCGCCAGAATCGAAGAGGCAAAATTCGAACCAGCGCGGGAAACCAAGCGCCAGAGCTGTCGATTTCCTGCCTCGAGAATGCGCGTAATGATGACGCCTGCAGACGCTGACATCACATGGGGAAAGGCGTTACGTTTCGATGATCTGAAGTCATGATGACCGTCTCATACCTGTCGCGTCACGGTCCTTTGATAAGGTCAAACTCTCCCAAAACGAAGGTATCTATTCCGCCCATCGAGAACGCATCTAGCTGCGACCCCGACGAGCGGATGGACTAACTACATGGGGTCGAATTTGACTGATCACGCCCCTAAGCCAGCACGATCGTCCGTACATATGTGAGTCTGGTTAAAAGGACGACTTGGGGACAACGCGAGGGACGACCTCATGACCACGTCGGCCCCTCTATAGCGTGTACTTTATTTTTGTTTCTTAAATATTTAAATAAAGACCCTTCGCTATATAAAGGGGGTCTGAGCTGTGTAAAAGGCATTCGATTGATTATTGATAATACAAGATCTCTCTAATATTCTCTCTCTCTCTCTCTTCTCTCTAACATTATCTCTCTCATCTCTCTAAGATTATCATCTTCTTCCTCCCCCCGATTTGTATTATTGATACACGAATCAATTACAAAGATCATCCTAGAGTCTATTATCTTTGATTACGAGTTACCCCTTCATCTATATTGATTGATTTGCTTAAAAAGTGTTCAACAACTTTTGAGTCAAACAATCCTATTTCTCTACCTCAATTTAATTGTTACGTTTGTTTTAAGTTGTAAACATGTTATCGACTACTTTTGAGCGTGGTACTTCACCAGAGTTATTCAAAATGTGAAATATAAGAGGTGTTATTAAATTACCAAAAAAGCTAATCTAGTATAGTAGTAATTAGTTAAGGCGTCTACAGACCAATTACACGGTAAATAAAGTTAAAAGGTCAAATACCTTCATTTCGACCTTCAAAGTGAATATAGATAGTTAATTTGTTAGAATTGAGTACTTACCAGGTTTATTTTTTCCAATTTAACCTCACAAAAAAAATGGCTCCTTTTTTTTTTGTGTGTGTGTTACTAGTCGTAAAACAGCAATGAGGAGAGGTGTGTTGCGACATGCATCATGCATCAATTAATATAGGACTTGAACATTATTTGTCTAAAACATGCAATAGTTTAAGGAACGATGCTTTGCACGAAATGGGCATATAGATGCGGTCCAATCTTCACAAAATCTATACTGAAATATTTCCCAAACAAGGTTAGTAAATTTATTCACCTCTACGTACAGACTGCATAATATTTATGTGTGGATGTCGAGCATTAGGATTGTAGATTAAAATGTAGTCGAGCGGTTTTCCTCTTTGTCCCGGTTTTCCCTCTTTGTACCGATGAGTATGATAGTATTTTGTCTAGCACTGCTAGCGATTTATGTTGTGTTTCACACTTTTGCATAATATTTGTGTTACTGCTTTTCCATTTATTTGTTGTCTCTCACGTTGCTGATATTATTTTTTTGGGTTTTGTTGTCACAGATCTATTGTCTCTGAGCCGAGTGTCTCCCGGAAACAGTCTGAGGGGGTAGGGGTAAGGTCGGGGCATTTGCATCTATACCCGCTTTTTAGGTCACATTTTAACTTGTACCCGCTTTGCAAAAAAAATTGCAAGCGTACCCACTTTTCCGCGTAACTTCAGCATACGGGCCTGAAGTAGCAAAGGCAATCACGCAAACTTCGGCATTCTAGTAGACGGGCCTGAAGTAGCAAAAATTGCTGAATCAAGTGTGCTGAAGTTTTTGTTTGTAATTGCTGAACTTAAGCATTCTAGTCCCGAAGTTTTGTTCTCTATTTGCTGATGTTTTTATTTGTAATTGCTGAACTTAAGCATTCTAGTAGCTGAAGTTTTGTGATGCTGAAGTTATTTAGTTCATTTGTAAAAATTTCAGCACTAAATAAGCTGAAGTTTTTTTGTCCTAGATTTATTAGTTTTGTCATAAATCTTTTTCAAAAACTTCAGCAGAAGATGCTGAAGTTATTTAGTTCATTTGTAAAAACTTCAGCACTAAATAAGCTGAAGTTTTTTTGTCCTGGATTCATTAATTTTGACATAAAGCTTTTTCAAAAACTTCAGCAGAAGATGCTGAAGTTATTTAGTTCATTTGTAAAAACTTCAGCACTATATAAGCTGAAATTTTTGAAAAGCTTTTCTAACATACTAGATAAATAATCAACTTATTCTTTCATAGTGTATTACTACTATAAAATAAGATTGCCAACAATATCTGAATCATAAATTTTGAAAACAATAAACGTGAAACGAACAAAATTATCATGAAAAGAATCACTAAGTGAAACTTCCCGTACGTGCAAATATTCACAAATTATTGTCTACTAACTTACGTAATTATTTATAATTTATTTTTAAATAATTTGATAAACATACTTATGGCAATCATCTCATGAACTGAAGTTTCATAGCAGCACCAACAGCAGCAGAAGAAAGAAGAAGAAGAAAACGAAGGAGGAGAAGGGAGAGGAGAAATTGGGCTGAACTTGTTTAAAAAGTGGGTACAAGTTAAAATTTTAATAAAAAATGGGTATAGGTTAAATGGGGGCGACCAAATAGGGCGCCTCGTGCAATTTTTACGATAAGGTCCGCGTACAGTCTACCCTTTCCAGACCCACTGGTGAAATTTTACAGGATTGTTGTCGTTGTTGTTATGTACGGAGTGCAGATAAAGTTAATTCCTTGGCCAAATCTCCAAGCAGGCTTATAAAAAATGTGATGCTTCCATATTGATGGTGTGAACTACATATATATGTAGAAATAATGTACTAGAGTGTGGGAATATAACTTTTTAACACATGTTTGATGATGGATATATTATATGTTTGGTACCGGATTTAATTAAAAGAAGACGGTGACAACCTCCTTGCTCTAGGAAAGAGAAGAAAAGGAGATATTTAGAGAATATTTGGTTTGCTTTGCATCAAAACAATTGTTTAAGCCCATCCATCTCCCGCAGCACCTTATATATTCCCTTCTACCTTTTACTGTCAGCAGCCATATAGGCTTCAGGTTTTCATCCACCATATATATCTATATATTCCATCAGTAGTTAGATACCAATATTATATTCCTTCCTAAATTAAAAGGGACCGGTTTTTCTGTTAGTATTATTTATACTTGGTAATGCAAAGTCAAAGATTTTTTTGTAACGTCCAATTTAATACTTGGTAATACTTGGTAGTTAACTGTATAGCAGCTTTGCCTACAAAAAGCACTCTTCTTTATGAATAATCTGATACAGAAAACACCTTCATCTTTCTTCTTCTTCAACTGATTTCTAGGTAATTGTTTTGTGCAAATTCCACGAGTGTACGTGTTTTGGAGGTGCTGTGGAACCTTGGGGAGCGACCGATCTTAACGATTTGCACCAGTTGAGCCGAAATCGTTTTCGCTGCTTGCCACGACACGGTATTTTCGATAAGTTGTTTCCTCTTGTTCTTGGTCAATATTATATACTCATTTTTCTTACATTTTCTATGTACTATTATTATTTTAAGGGTTCCTCCTGAATTCATTAGTAAATATATTTATTTTCTTTTCTTGAAAGAAAGAAAGAAACTTTAGAGAGTTAAACGCATATTTCGATTAGATAATCTATCGATGCATATGTAGGGGAGGGGGTAATTGGGAATATTACAACCTATACAAGTCCACAGTTTTGCTGCTTTAATAGAATCCATTTGCCAAGAGATTGGAACTTAAGGAAAAGATGCCTTCTCTTCGAGGAATATTTTACTCTCCCTTCTTTATTAGTGTGTACGTAATTGCTAGCTAGAATTCTCTATCTCTATATATATGATGTGAATATATATATACTACTCTAAGGAGCCTATTCACAATGGTTAATATACTTGAGAAACTATTTGGCTCTTTTGTCTCTGCCATCACTAGTTATTGTTTTTTACACTATCATCATCATCATCCTACTCCTCATCACCAAGGCAATCATAAACGCATCAACAAACACAACATGACTAAGGCTCGGCCCTTTTCTTTACAGGTTTCACTTTAAATCCATCTACCTAGGTTTTCCCCGTCTTTTACTTTTTACTTTTCCTTTCAACACAAGTCCTTTCGTTTTCTATTTGTCCAGTTTTTTTTTTTCTTGCATGTATATACACAGAATTGGAAGGTGGCAATGAGGGGGATCATTTAAAGGAAGATATGATGAACATAATAACTTAGCTTTCAGTAAAAAAATTATTTTATGGCCTTTTGAACCAGGGGCGGATTTATAGGCGGAATTATAGGGCATGTAAACATACGGTCTCTCCGTAAAATTAGATATTTTATATATATATATATATATATATATATATATATTAAAATTGGTGTAATATTAACTGTTAGCACCCATACTCCAAGAAGGTTGAATGGTGCACTTGCTTGAACTTGAGTTATTTATCGAGACGAATAAGGATCAATTCTTACTTGATACGTTTTTTTCATTTTCTTTTAGTAGTACACCCATATACTTAAAATAGATCCGCCTCTGTTTTGAACTGTACTCCCCTCACCTTGGGCTCAAATTTAGATGAAAAGGTGGTGTTGTTATACCCGGAACCAAGTCGAACCCAAAAGAACAAAAGGAATTAACTGCTAAAGGAATAAGAACAAACAAAAAGAAAGTGCACAATATCGGTCGTTATCCATAGTAGAACAGAGCAAAAGAAGATTTTTTAATTTATTGAGTTTTTATTTGCAGACGGTGGAACTCAAAGTAAGGATGTGTTGCACTGGCTGCGAAAGAGTTGTCAAAGATGCTGTCTTCAAGCTTAGAGGTACAAAAATTAAATTAAATGATCATCTAATAATTAGAAATCTGACGCTAGCTTTTATATACATAAATAAACTCCATATATACATATATATAGTAACTACTTGGTGGATATGCAGGGGTGGAGTCGGTGGAGGTTGAGTTGGAGATGGAGAAGGTGACAGTGGTAGGATATGTGGAACGAAATAAGGTACTAAAGGCAGTGAGAAGGGGAGGAAAGAAGGCAGAATTCTGGCCATATCCAAACCCACCCCTCTACTTCACATCCTCAAACAATTACTACAAAGATATGACGGCTGAGTACAAGGAGAGCTACAACTACTGGAGGCATGGCTATAATGTTGCTGAAAAGCACGGCAATCTTCCTGTTACTCATCGAGGTGATGATAAAGTCAGCAACTTGTTTAACGATGACAACGTCAATGCTTGCTGCCTCATGTGACCATCCCCGCCCTGTAAATATATATATATATACCTTTATTTTAGGATACTAATCAATTTCTAGCTATAAATGTGTAATGTACTGCCACTCTCTCTAGCTACTTAATTAAAGTATGCACGTGCTTATACTTTTCGCCCCTGCTTTCGCTATCCAAATATAACAATTGCCTTTACATTTAGGGGCTGATCAATTATTTCTCCTCTTTAATTTCAAAGCAAGCAGCCTATTCTGGTCAACAATTCGCATAATTTCACGGGCTACATATACGCAAACTGTCTTTTTTTTTTTTTTTTTGGGAGAAATCCAAAAATAGTCAGATTTACAAGTGGTCATTTAAAATAGCCATAGTTTCAAAAGTAATCGAAATTTAGCCACTTTTCATGTAAAGAAAAATCTGAACGAAAACTTGTTCAAAATCCCAAAAAAATACTCCAGTATATTATACTGGAGTTTCAGTATAATATACCGGTCCAGCATATTGGAGCACTGGTGCTCCAATCTCCAGTATATTATACTGGAACTTTCCGTGTGTTCGAGTTCCAGCATAATATGCTGGAAGTTCATACACAGGTGCACCGATCTCCAGTATATTATGCTGGAACTTTCCGTGTTGCAGCAAAATATTGGCTATTTTTCAATGACTTTGCAAACACTGGCTTATTTTGAATGATCACTCCGAAAATTGGCTAGCACGTGCTATTTTTACGTCTTTTTTGGTACTTTGCAGGTGTCAAGCCTGTATAATAAGCGGGCTTGGAGCTTTCACCAGAAAAGTTAACGAGGATCTTTACAAGCCGATCGAATTCATTGTTTATTTTTCTCTAGCCAGTATGTATAAGTTATACAATAACTATACACGACTATATTTATTATACATGGATTATACCGCCAGATATTTTAAATTGAACTACTTGGGTATCTTTACATAAATAGCCGGCCATATTCATTATTTACTTTTTCTAGCCATATACATAGATTATACATAATCTACACATATAATACATAAATTATGCATATATTATATCTCTACCGGTTATTTTTAGTTTAAGTGTTCGGATGACCAACTATTTGGGTTAATTCTTCAAAAGTTAAAGTTGCATTTGAGCTCCCTACGACCCAATTTATTGTCGAAGGGCCTTAAGAAATGCCCAAGAAAGTACTATATACACCTTACTTAAGAATATGACCTAAAGGCTATCAGAGTTCAGAAGCATATAAATTCCAATAATAGCTTATCTAATGACCTCTTTTTGCACATTTTCCCTCAATCCAATGTCCAATTCACGAATAAAACAAACGGATCCACCAACACTGGGGCTTCTACATTTTTTTGTTTTAAACTTTCTATTTTGGCAAGGCCCAGAGAGTGTTAGACTCCATTATCGGAGTCAATCGACGAAATTTGAAATGAAAAGAAACCCTAAATCAGTAGAGAAAAGAGAGAAGAGAGAAGCGAGCTATTTTCTTATTATTTTTCTTACATGTTCTAGATACATCTGAAAGTATATAGTCAAATGACTTATTTACATGTGGACGGGGCCGAGAACTATACAAATGAGCCCAAATAATAATGGATCAAAATTAATAAAGCTACTAGCTAATGGGCCTTGTAGTAGAAGAATTATACAACCCAACACCCTCCTCAAGCTGGAGGGGGAAGCCACTCCAAGCTTGCCAAGCAAATGGTAACGAAGAGGGCCTGCAAGAGACTTAGTTAAAATATCAGCAGGCTGATCAGCAGTAGAAATATGGTGGAGAGAAATCAAACCAGACTGCAAACAATCTCGAACGAAATGACAGTAATATCAATGTGCTTGGTCCTTTAATGGAAAACAGGGTTCTTGGCGATATGCAAAGCAGCATGACTGTCACAAAAGACCTGAATATGAGAGGAGAAGACCAAGCCCAGGTCACCAAATAAGCGAACCTACCAAGAAATTTCACCTACAACTTTCCTCAAAGCTCTGTGCTCAACTTCAATAGAGGAAAGAGAAATAGTAGGCTACTTCTTGCATTTCCAAAAAATGGGACACCCACCAAAGCTAATAAAGAAATCAGTGATGGACTTGTGATTCTGGATACATGCAACCCAATCAGAGTCAGCATAGGCCACAAGAGAAGTATCAGAAGACCTTGATAAAAGGATACCCTGTCCAGGATTATTTAACAAGTACCTAAGAAAATGGAGGACAGCTAACATATGGGGAACCTGAGGAGCCTGAAGAAATTGGCTCAAATGCTGGACAAAAAATGTAATATCAGGTCGAGTGTGCTACAGAAAATTTAATTTTCCCACAAGTCGTCTGTAGAGGCTTGGATCAGTAATGGGTTGACCCATATCAGGAGTGAGCTTGACAGAAGACTCAAGAGGTGTGACCACTAGAGTGAAGTGATGACAATTGAATTCATTCAAGAGGTTAGAGGCAAACTTGTGTTGACAAACCAAATACCCTTGAGGAGTCTTGAAGACTTCAAGACCTAAACAATAATGGACAGACCCTAGGTCCTTAATCTTGAACTGGGAGTCCAAAAAGATTTTCAAATTGTCAAGCTCAGTCACATCATCCCAGCAAGTAATATATCATCAATATAAACAGCAATGACAGTGAGAGAAGAAGGAGAAGACCCGGTGAAGAGTGAGTAATCATTCTTACTAGAAATGTAGCCCCTTGAGAATAAAGCTTCTGACAGTTTAGAAAACCACTGTTTGGAAGCCTGCTTGAGGCCATAAAGAGACTTAAGGAGCTTGTAAACCAAATGAGAAGAACCAGAAGCCATGGGGGCAGAAATCTGAAGACTAGGTGGAGGTTTCATGTAAACCTCTTCATGGAGATCACCATGAAAAAAGGCATTATTCACATCAAGTTGATACATAGTTCAGTCCCTCTTGGCAGCAAGGGAAAGAAGGCACTTGATGGAGGTGAACTTGTCAACTAGAAAAAGGTCTCATTGTAGTCAATTCCCTCCTTTTGGTGTCACCTCTAATGACCAACATGGCTTTGTATCTTTCAATAGAGCCATCAAACTATTGTTTGATTTTATAAACCCATTTACATGGGATAGGCTTCTTGTTAGGAGGAAGAGGGACAATTTCCCAGATATGATTTTCATCTAGAGCTTTAAATTCCCGTAGCATAGCCTCTTGCCAAGTAGGATGAGATGCAACTTATTGGTAAGAAAGAGGTTCTTGCAGATGCAACTCAGTAGGAAAAACCTTGGGATATCAGAAGCAGGTTTGGTAAGGGCTGAAGAACAAACATAATCCTTGAGGTAAGCAGGAGTGTGGAATACCCTAGTGGACTTTCTAAGAGGAGGAGAAGGTGGCAAAGGACGGGGTGTAGAAGAGTTGGAGTGGAGAGAATCATATGCAGAGGAAGGAGGAGAAATAGGAGGAGAAGGAGGAGCGGAAGGTACTGAAGGAAAGACTGGAGGAGGAGAAGAAGGTGTGGAGGAGGAAGGTATACTGTCCTCAAAAGGAACAGGATGGAAGGGCTGGGCAAGTGGAGAAGGATAAGAATAAGGGAAGATGTGCTCATGAAACACAACATCTCTAGAAAAGAAGATGTAATGGTTAGTGAGATTAAGTAGTTTATATCCCTTTTTTTACCACAAGGATAGCCTAAAAATATACATTTGATAGCTCAAGACTGGGGGTAGTAGCAAAACATAAGCATCCAAATGATTTGAGGTGATCATAAGAAGGCAGGAACACCACGAAGTCTTTGGAAGGGAGAGATATTGTCTAGGACAGAAGAGGGCATCCTATTTATTAGATAAGTTGCAGTCAACACACATTCACCTCAGTATTTGACAGGAAGATGAGATTGAAGGAGCAGGGCTCTAGAGGTTTCCAAAAGATGTTTGTGTTTTCTTTCAACCACTCCATTCTGTTGTGGTGTGCTAGGAATAGTAGTTTGGTGAAGGATCCCATTTCAGAGAAGAAGGCTTTTGCTTCAGAACTACCACCTAGTTCAAAAGCACTATCAGCTCTGAATGTTTGAACAGAAGAGTGGAAATGCGTTTGGACCATTTTGGTTAAAGCTTTAATGATTGTAAAGGCATTGCTTTTACATGATAATAAATGGGTCCATGTTAATCTAGAGTAATCATCAACAATGGTGAGAAAATATCTAAAACCATTGTATGTTTTGGTATGATAAGGACCCTAGAGATCCAGGTGAACCTGTTGAAAAGGGGAAGTAGATTTGATATGACTTTCAGGAAAAGGAAGTCTTTGTTGTCTAGCCATAGGGCAAATAGAACATGAGAAAGACTGTTTAGAGGGAATAATGTCAGATAAAATTGAAATTGATTTCATCTTATGAGGAGGCATGTGGCCTAGTATTTGATGCCAAAACAATTCCATTTTATTAACATTGGTAGAAGAAGTACAAGAGGGACTAGGGAAAGGGATAACGGAATTGGAAACATTACATGTATTAGAAACATTACATGCATTACTAGATGGATTGGCAGAAACAGGAGATGAACATTCAGGCATGTCAGGGAGCAGAAAATAAAACCCATGAGAAGCTCTACCAATTTCTAGTGGCCTCTTCAGAGAAGGGCCCTGTAGAAAACAAGAATGACTGCTGATTAATGCTAATCATTGTAATTGAGAAAGAAGTTGATATACAGAAATAAGATTGAAGTGGAAAGAAGGAACCAACAGTACATTGTGCAAGATAATGTCTGTTTTGAGTTGTAATGACCCAATAAGATTACGTTAACTTTATATCCATGTGGTAGTGTTATTAAGTAAGGCTTAGGTAAAGGTTGTAAGTTGTGTAAGAATTGTTTATTAGAGGTCATATGATTAGTTGCACCTGAATCCAATATCCAAGGTATCTTTCCTAACTGAGCAGACAGACATTGAACTGCAGAATTAACTACAGGCAATTGATCTACAGGTAGGTGACACACACCTGCAAAGTTGGCATAGGCAATATTGTCACCAGAAGTGGAATGATGATTGCAGTAGATATGTGAGCCTGCTGAAACAGGGACATGAGGTGCTGATACTGCTCTTTCCTGAAACCATAAGCTGTGGTTTCATTTGGAGGTACCACTTGAGCAGCATTATCTTCCACTTGTGCACAAGAAGTAGACCTTTTGTTAGTGGAAAAACCATG